TTTTTCTCTGTATTGTTTTGTCCTTGTCGAGCTTTTCAGTTTATTTCCTGTTGGTGTTTTGTATGACTATCTGTATATGAAATCCAGGATAGGTAAATCTAGAGAGAGATTAATAATTACCTAGGGGCATGACAGAGGAGCTTGGAGGACAGGGAGCCAACAGATATGAGAAGCAAATGCTCTGAAATGGATTGTGTTGATGATTTCACAACCCTTCTCAATATAGGCACATGATTAATTCGCATGATATCTGAATTTGTCCATCAAACAATTTAAAAATAAAACACCAATATGGATCATGTTTCTTGTCAGGAAGAAAGTATCATGCTTGGGCTCCAGTGAAAAAAACACACCTCAATACTGGTTTTAAAAGTTTGAGAGGATATCCAGGGACATGTATATGCTAAGCCAATTATCCACCATCAGTAGATGTGGAAACCCGCAGTAACTGAGTCAATTCTGACCAATAACAACCTTATCGGGCAGAGTAGAACTGTTCTCTAGGTCTGTATATCCTTATGGGAGCAGACAGCCATCTCTCTCTCCCATAGGTTGACTGGTGAGTTGAAATGCTGCCCTAACTGTAACCATTTTTTGTTGACTGACCTTATTATTAGCAATTTATTGCTAGCTGAACTTATTGTTAGGGGCTCAACACATAATGTGTTCCAGATTCCTGGCGCTGTCTGTTTCTCATTGGTTGGGAGACAAGGCTCAACTAGCCCGCAGGTATTGCCTTAGGTAGCGTGCACAGAGGCAGTGACTGAACTTCACACAACTCTTTTAGGCATGTGAGACTCACTATGTTTCATTTAACAGATGACAAAGGTCAGATTTAGGCAGTTACAGTAAGTAATTTCCACGACTCTCATAGTTATTAAGGGAAAGATTCAGTTCAACTTACTTTACAGGGTATAAACCAGAACCCTTTCCATGACCCTGGCATGGAGGCAAAACCCGGGCAGAGTGCTCCTCTCCCTTGACTTTCTGTCTACCTTCTCCCTCATGGAATTAAGATCTAATTTGAGACTCTATGTCACAACACATGCTTGGCTTTGAACTCGGAGCTTGTTTTGCTCCGTTTAGTTACACTTTAAATTTGAATCACTTAAAAGTGCTTCCAAATACAAGTCAAGCAAAACCTAACAGGCATAAAATAAAACCCAGGATGCTAAGAACATATAATACCGCTGGAACACAAGGCGAGTGAGCACTTAGGCTCTAAGAAATGTTTTGTTAAAAACATAGCTTTGCAATTACATGTATTACCTTTGAGGGGAAATAAAAAGTGATCCAAATAAATACTTACTGAGTGCCAGACACAAATGCTGTGACTTGGGGGGGAAAAATCAGTCACACAGTAAAAAAGTAAACAAACTAATAAATGCAAATCACAGTAAGTGCTTAGAGGAAAACAAGGAGGTGTTTTTAAGATAATAATGGGTTTCCTTGGAGGGAAGTTTTGCCTTCATTAGGATGCGTATCATGAGACTCTTCTCTGAAAGGTTATGATTTAAACCTTGATTTAGAGGCTGAGGAAACAGTTGTCCCAGAAAGGACATAGGGATCCAGGTGAACAATGTGGGGCAGGATACTGGGCAGAGAGAGCTTGCAGGGAAAGAAGCCCAGGGAGACCGGCTGGCTGTCTCTAGTTGGACCGCGAGAAGAGAAGAGTCTGGTGGCGGTGTCTGGAGAGGGAGGACCAGACGAAAAAGACCCCTGAGACGTTGACAAAAATGTTTTTATTTTCTTCGAAATGCCGCTTGAATATATGCAAAGTCTTACATAGAGGATCTGATGTAAGAGGATGAAAAGCTGTGTGGAAAATGAGAGTACGTTTCAATATGCGAGTAGCTTGTTAAACAGTATGATTCAAATTGCTCTTGTGAGTTATTTTTCCTTGATTTAAAATAGTATTATTATGATTTTCCCCCCCTGCCACGTGTCTCCCAGTTTGTCGTGCTTGTGCGCGGCATGTGTGTTGCTGGGGAACACGACCCGGTACCAAATGCATTTCCAGGACCTGCAGGAACGAGCGTGATGGGCACCTTTGGGCGGAGCGTACAGACTGAGAAGGATGTGGAGAAAGGCTGCTACGCCCTTGTCCC